GGGGGGTGAGGAATGATTTCATAAAGTAGTGTGCCTGGGGAGTCTTCAGCTGGTGCAGCACTGTTAAATATTTAGATTGTAGGGAAGAGAGCCCTACTGCACATATTACCCTGCTCTCCCTTGCTGCTCTCTGGAGGGCCCAAAGCAGATTGTAGGCCCTGTCATCTCCAGGTTGCCACTTATTGCTTAAAAAGGGCTGATTGTCTCCCTGCCCCATGTGCTGGTGCTGTGTACCTACAGTATATGGCCAGTTGTTAGGAGGAAGGGAACAGAGTTGCATGTTTCCCATGCCCAGGAGTACTAGGTACTTTGCTACTGGCAGCTGAATGAAGTGGCGGAGGAAATGTAAGAATGTGCTGTTGGTGGGACCACCATTAAAGTGAATATATTGCTTGGTCTCTTTAGAAGCCCAAATGTTTGACCGTGTTGTGTGTGAGTTTAGACACGGCTAATTTCTGTTTAAAGCAAACTGTTCATAAAAATGGAATATCCACGCTACTGAAAGGCCCCCCTTCCACCCCAAGCTGATTAAAAATGACAGCTGTTTCTAACAAAAAAAAAACCTTGGCCCGAGCTCCTGACACTTCCCACAGTTACAAAATTCCAGGAGAATATGCCCCTGCAAATGGCTGGAGTGCATTCTCGCAGGATCTCGAGCCCCTGGCTATCCCAGCAGACATTGTGGCACAATGACATCACCTGCTTCTCATGATAATGTCAGAAGCTGGGGTCAAGGTAACTAAAATTTCCCCAATCCTCTTCCAGGACAGCGTTTTTAAAATACATCTCCACTTTTGCATCCAAATTGGACTAACGCTTACTTGGTATTTGTCTCTCAATGACCTACCAGAACCTAGAAAAAACTACTTCAGGAAAATGGAAGGTCTGCTTTAGACTAATCATATTTGTCCCATGCCATATCCTCCAGTTTGTGAATGATAACTTATGAGGGATGTTGGTATCCAATCGTATAGGTGTCTTATTGATGCACTAGACCCCAGGCTATTCTTTGAAGGGGGGGCGGGGGGCGGCAACAGCAGTTGGCTTTTTTTTTCTTGTTAGGGTTATCCTTACAGATGAGCAATGACTAGTGTCTTGCTGTATGCACACCTTTGTATTGCCATATTTCATTCACTCAGATCTTTGTGTGGTGTGTGTATTTAGTGGGTTTTTTTCTTGCATGTTCAATTGATAGTCTTATTTACATGAAACCTTTACTAAACCATGCAGGCTGAAATACCAGGCCAATCATTGCCTGGCTACTGTGTTAATCCAAAGGGGGTAGTTTTATTAAAGGCAAATATTCCATTCACTTTGAAAAGGACCTTTCCCTTAGCTTAGTAAATTCAGTGGAAATGTTAGTAAAAAAAAAAAAAAAATGCATACTGTAATCATAGAGCTTCCTATTCATTAAGCTAAGGGGAAACTGCTTGCAAAGTTAACAGCCTATTTGTCACTGACCCATAACTTTTATGCTGATCAGTGGTTCTCACTTTCTTTTGACTTCTAGCTTTATTTTTGGGTCAGTGACTGAGGTGTTGAGGTCAGAGCCAAGGAGAGGTGTTATTTTGAGTAGGTGGCCATCAATGGCAGCCTCTGTGTTTTTCTCAGTACAGGTTGCCATTTAAAGGAGCGCTATGGGGTAACCTTTTTTGCCCATAGTTTTCTTCAGGGTCAACGGAGGACATATGCTGTGTCCTCCGATGACACAAAACTCCGTATATAGCGGGCTATTGCCAGCTATATGCTGAGAGCGCAGGGCCGCTCCACAGCCGGGATGGATCCCAACGATACTGATAAGATCCACCCTGCTTGTTGATTGACAGCTGGCTTTACCTTTTTTCAAACTGACTGATACTGCTCTCTGCAGGGAGAGGATCAGAAGTCGGCGATCAGCGCTATGTGTTTGTTAACTTCCCATCAATAGAGCTGAACTGTGACAGCTTCTTTGTCACAGGTCCGCTTGAATTATGGGGATGAGTGTTTTCCCTCGCCCCATAATTCTCCTTTAATTCTATTACAATTAACACTTGTTCAGCCAAGTAATGTATACCCGAGCAGGGATTTGATTGGTCTTTAAAGAAATCTAGTTGTGTAGACTGAAGTTTATTTTCCCCAATATTTGGCGTTAATTCTTCTCGCTTTAGCGGAGTAGTTGGGATCAGACAAATTGCCAAAAGCCTAAGGGTCTGTCGACTGGCTTTTGTTCACTTTTAGCAAGTTCTATTGGGGTCCTGTCAAATTTGAGGTCCTGCCCATTTCTGTTGACATAAACACAAACCCATAGACCAGGGCCTAGCAGTTGCTGTCCTGTCGACTGACTGACCTAGTATACTTATCAGCCTTTAGCATGCTGTTTCAATTTTACAGGGTTTGTGTTTAAAGATACTGACCTAAGGTACATTGGCTATTGCTCGGGTTAACATTTAGCCAAAATAATCATTCAGTGTTCATTGTAAATGCCGTTGGAGCATCTGTTTAATGTTTTTAAAATGGCTTTCACAAATGCAATAATGTGCCTTTTTTTTTTTTTTTCTCTAGGTACTTACGGGGTTGTCTATAAAGGGCGACACAAAGCAACTGGTCAGATTGTTGCCATGAAGAAGATACGTTTAGAAAATGAAGAGGAAGGTGTTCCAAGCACAGCTATCAGAGAAATCTCTCTCCTTAAGGAACTTCAACACCCCAATATCGTGTGGTAAGTCTCCGTTTTACAATTGCAGCTTAAAATTGTATCTCGGCTAACGTTCAGTAGTAAAAGATGAAAGGAGTGTTAATCCTTTCGCTGGCAATTTTTACGTTTTTAGGCCTGAAACTTACTTTTAAATTCCCTCCCCAAAATGGTGGCAGTTGCAATTTGTCACATTAGCACAGCTGTAATATGAAACCCAACTTTTGAGGTTGCGCTGGGAAAATAAATGCTATAAAATTCAAAATGTGCTCCTGCAAATGGTGAAAAACGACATCAAACCCAGAATTGTTCATGGGCAGTGTTTTGAAAGCATTTAAAAGTCATCTGTTGGCTGCAAATGGTGATCGGTGATGCAGAGGTCTCTGCACAATAAGATTTCTGCATGTGACTGAAGTTTGGGTCCCTAAGGTAAGACAGTGGTTTAGGGGTAATCTGGTAATGGCAAATACGTGAAAGGTATTGTCCTGGAATACATAGATTCTCTCTCCTGACCTCAAAATGCTATTTGCTTGGCTCACTAGTTTTGTCAGTCCTCCCCAGTACATGCAGCAAATGAATCCTGACTTGACAATTGACTAGTACTGATTCTAAAAGCTGCATGCCAGTCAGACAACTAGCATTGGTGAAGTTTCAGGCAATGCAAGCTTAATTTCTCTTGGCACATGCTTCCTCTAAGGGTTAAGTTGGGGCTTGACTACAGACTAAATGTGTTTTAATTTTTGAGGTTCCAGAGCGTGCCGTGGGGGAGCAGTTATTTGGCACACCCCGATGTGTCTGATAGATGCAGAAGATCAGCAATACATGGGTCACTCGAAGCATTTGTCCTTTTACATACCAGGTTTACTTGATACTTTAGGTTTGATCTCCATAGAGACCAGAGACAGATTTAACACTGAATGTTTTAAACTTTATTTTGGATATGGTGATTGCTTGAGATAAATCTACTGTAGACAAATGTCTGTATATGGTATTAGTCGTGTACATGTTCTTATAGGGTAGTTTATGATTTATTTTTCTTTTCCTAGCCTTCTAGATGTTCTAATGCAGGATTCCCGGCTATATCTTATATTTGAGTTTCTTTCCATGGATTTAAAAAAGTATTTGGACTCCATCCCCAGTGGTCAGTACTTGGATGCTATGCTTGTTAAGGTATGTATCGGCTTATATAAAACAGTGTATCTGTTTGTGGTTCCTTTTTGTCATGCTGTTTTTCTTTTTCAGAGTTACTTGTATCAGATCCTGCAAGGCATTGTATTTTGTCATGCCAGAAGAGTTTTGCACAGGGACCTAAAGCCTCAGAATCTTTTAATAGACAGCAAAGGTGTCATAAAACTTGCTGACTTCGGGCTTGCCCGAGCATTTGGAATCCCAGTCAGAGTTTACACGCATGAGGTATGTTAAACACAAAATGAACAGAAATGATTTCTGCAGTGCTTGGTGTACAGGTTAGTTACCAGTTAGGAGGACCTTATAGCCCAGCTCCAACTTAATGAAAATGCACTGGCTGCAATACTCCTCCTTTCGTACTGTCCCTTGCTGTACCCACTTCAGTTCCTGCTTCCCCTCCTTTTCCAACTTAGAGCTATGGGGTAACCTTCTTTTTTTTTTTTATTCTTTTTTTTATTTTATTTTTTTATCCCATAGTTCTCAACGGTTACAGAAGGACATATACTAACATCCTCCTATGACCCAAAGCTCAGTATATAGCAACCTATTGCCTGCTATATACTGAGAATGCTGCAGGCAGGATGGATCCCGACAATACTGTCGAGATCCAGCTAGCTGATTTACATTGGGCTCTGCCTATCTAGAAGCAGTGCCAGCTGTGCCCACCCCGTCCATTCCTCCAATTACTGATTGGCGGGGGGGGGGAGGGATCCTTGTGTGGAGCAGTGACTGAGTCTCTGCAGGGAGATCGGAAAGTGTGTGTGTTTGCTCACTTTCCGATCAATAGAGCCGACGTGACAAGTTTCATTGTTGCACGTGTACTCTATTAGGTTGAGTGAAAATCACTTGCCTCATAGTTTTCCCTTTTTTTAAATGACGCCCAGCGTCAAACCCACTTTTTATGAATACAAAACACAAAAATTCCCCAGCCTCAACCTGCCAGCCAGCAGCCAAACAAGTAGCCCCGTCAACAGTATGCGTTAAAATCAGAGGTTTAGTTGCATAAAGTTTTGGCCAAAAATATGTAGAAGCCACACTGCTGAGACTCGGATACATAGAGTTAGGACCACACTTTGCAGAGGTGCCTTGGCGCGGCAGTGTGGCTTCTACATATTTTTGGCCAAAAGTTTGTGCAACTAAACCTCTGATTTTAACGCATACTGTTGACGGGGCTACTTGTTTGCTTGCTGGCTGGCAGGTTGAGGCTGGGGAATTGTTGTGTTTTGTATTGTTGTAAGCCTTCCCAATGTGCGCCCTGCTATAAAGGCCGGTTATAGATTCATGCATGTACCATTTTTTTCTAGTTTTTCCACTTTTTATGAACCCTGGCAGCCCTGGACACACTTTCTGGGGTTGCATAATCACGCTGCCCCGGGATCTTATCGGTACAGTATTACATGTGTCCTGTGGAAGTACCTGAATCTGACATGGTATTGGCCGCTTGTAGTCCCTGTAGAGCAGAGCTGAAGTGAGAAAGTGGTATAAGGAGCCACTCGGTTGATGTCCTTACCATAAGCATGCTTGATAGGAGAGTGAAGTGACAGATGAGCTCATTGTGCTTCCCTTCACTATCCAGTCAGGGATTCATACAAAGTGGAGTGTGTTTGTGACATGTAGTAGTGCTGTATATTTCAATAGGTGACTGGTATACTTCTACAATATGTTTCAATAGGCTTATGTCCCAAAAAAGCTGAGACTGGCTTTAGTTTTTGATGTTGGGTTTGTAATTGTGGAGCATTTTGGGAAACTTCTATCTAACATGTTAATGTGCTTAGATGTAAAATCTGTTGTACAGTCATTTAACACAATAAGACTAATTGGACTGTAATACAGACTGTTTTTGTCACTGCAGGTGGTGACCTTGTGGTACAGGGCACCAGAGGTCCTTTTGGGCTCTGTCAGATATTCTACACCAGTTGATGTGTGGAGCATAGGTACGATATTTGCAGAAATTGCTACAAAGAAACCGCTGTTCCATGGAGATTCTGAGATAGACCAGCTCTTCCGAATATTCAGGTGTGTATAATCTGCCTTGGTGTGTCCCTTGCATATAACATTCTTTTAATTAAGTGTGCTGTGAATTGTTGACTGCATTGTACATAAGAGGCATGAGCAGGGAGTCAGCAATGTTTGATTAAAAATTGTCTACGAGCAGCAGTAAAGGCCAATCCACCTGAATGTGATATTTTATTATAAGTCGTTAAGTGAGCAGACACACATGCTCCTGGGAATGCAGGTGGTGATCTCTCCATTTGTTCCTGGTTGCATATATTTGTTTTAAAGCGGACTGAAAACATCCCCTTTTGGATGGCTCATTCCTCCTAATTTTAAGTCCTGTAAGTGTAACCCTGGGCTATTTACTGGTGGAGAGACCTTGGTAAATGATCTTTTGGATCTCATTGCTAGTTTCCAAGAGCTGCTGGAAACATCAAAGTGGTTTGTTGTTCCAGCATCTTACAAGAACAAATTCCTGTTTTCTGATGGATCACTCCTTAGAGGCTCTGTCACATTTCCCATTCGGGGTGAAGTGCAATAATCTGTTCAAATCCTGCCCCCAATCACCTTATCTTCAGTGCTTCCCTGCTGTTCAGTACCTTCCAGGTATGGTGGTGCATGTGCCTCTGTTGTATTATGGAGGACAGGGTGACATCACTGCTAACTCCCAAATCGGTGTATTTCAGTGTCTGTTGGGAGGGAGTGTTGGGTAAGCTCCATAAGCTGGTCAGATAACCTCCTATGGGAAAGCCTGAAGCCAACTGATTACTTTTGTAAAGAAACTTGCGGAGGCTTTTACAGCTGGGAGTTTTACATCCAGTTACTGCCACACTGTAATACTTGCAGCAGTGAGGGTTATAGTTCACTTGAAAGATGTGTAGGTTGCTATTGCTGGGCCCCTGAAACTGGGCACTGAAACTATACACAGCCACGCAACTAGGCCTCAGGCCAGAAAAAGTATGTGGCAAATGAAATATAGAGGAATCTGAATTCCTCCTCTGTTTAGGTCCTCACTTCAGAAAGCCATAAAGCCCTAGCATTACTCTGACAACTGGCCTTTTTAAAAAAACTGGTGACAGCTCAATTTATTTATCAGAGGTGATGTGGGAGGCTTCATAGTGCTCCTTTCTGGTGGATTATGCATTGCAGATTGATCTGAAAGGCAGTGAGCTCCCTACATTGAGCTATGGACAGGGGGCCTGTACAAATCAATGACTGCTGCTGTGGTCCACGGCTGTTGGCATGTAATTGTTCAAGTAGCAATTACCTGTAGCAACTCTACTCTACTAATTCCGCCTAGAGCTAAAATAGCATTAGGTTTTCTAACCTGCAACTACTGCTGTACATCTCATGTGGAAAATATTACCTGTTGCTGTAGAATTGTTTGCTTCAAAGCATAAATGCCTATATCGGATGCTAACGCAACTTCTCCACAGAGCTTTAGGGACACCCAACAATGAAGTGTGGCCGGAGGTGGAATCACTACAAGACTACAAGAATACATTTCCAAAATGGAAAGGAGGCAACTTGTCTTCTAATGTGAAGAACATTGACAAAGATGGCCTGGACTTGCTCGCTGTAAGTTTACATTCCCCTGTGCAGGAGCATGTACTAGGGCTGATGACTATGCATCCTGCTCAGTGTTTTCAAGCCAGTCTTTACCTGCCATAGGAATTGATTGGGGAATTAAATATTTAGCAGAATATCAGAACACCTGAGAATCACTTTCTTGGTAGTTTGAACCTCCAGTTCTGTCTATGCCATTACCAGCGACATGCATTTGTTTTTAAGTTCTCTGTCCCTGTGCATTGTTGCAGTGAAGTGTTTGAGGAAGAGTTGCATGTAAAGCATTTCAGATCACCTCAGAAGCATTATATTCAGTGTGTAATTTTTAAAGAGCAGGGAGATACTCGACCATGACAAAGCATGGCCCTAGGTGTGGCTATCTTGTAATGGCTTAGGCTAGACAAACTCAGAAGTTGGGTAATTTAGGTTGCATCTTAAAAAGTTACTAATCATTTATAATTGAGAATTCAAGGTACTAGTGGTATAAATCTTGAGCACTCTGGTACTGACTTTCAATCGGTGATGCCCATGATCAGTCTTGGAAACTACTAAATGCATTATTATTAAAGGAGAACTATGAGGTGAGTGAAAATCACTCCTTAGTAGTTCGAGCTGACATGTGACAATTAAACTGTCACACGTCAGCCCAATAGATTGGGATTTGAGTGAACATACAGTCGCTCGCTCACTTCTCTATCATTTAGTCACCGATCCCCGCAGAAATCCCCCTTCCCACTTCGATCCTCCAGCGCTGACTGGGGGAAAGGAATGGGGAGGGGGTGGGTACAGCTGGCTCTCCCTCTAGGTAGGCAGAGCCAGCTGTCACTCCCGCAACTGGGGGGTTCTCAACATCACTCAGTATACCGCGAGCTGTAGCTCGCTATATACTGAGCTTTGGGTCGCGGGAGGATGCTAGTCTATGTCCTCCTGTGACCCTTAATAGAACTATGGTGTAAATGTTTTTCCCCATAGCTCTATTAAGTACAGTTTTAATCAAAACATGTTGATTAAATGAAATTCTGAGACCTTCAAAGCAAACAGTGTTTTACTTGAATCCATGGAACCAGGAAGTGAGATTACTTGTCTTGTCACTGCTTAGATCAGTGGTAGCCAAACTTCGGCCCTCCAGCTGTGGTGAAACTACAAATTCCATGATGCATCTCTCTCCAGGAGTCGTGGCTGTGATAATCTGAGAGCCTCATGGGATTTTTAGTTTCACCACAGCTGGAGGGCTGTAGTTTAGCTACCCCTGGCTTAGATAAGTCCTTGAGGTTCACCTAAGTGTACAATCACATTAACTTTGGGTCCATGGCCATTTTTAGATTTCCCTTTTTGAGGCCTTTCAACTATGTAGTGTCGCCATGTACTGTGTAAAGAATACAACTTGTCCTACTCTTGGTTCACACAAATGCAGGGTTGCGGGTGTGAACTGATGCAATAGAAAGTCAGGCAAATTGCCTTGGCTGTGTTGGGGAGCACAGCCCAATGGAGCTTGGTGTAAATGAGCCCTTACTCCTGCATTCCTTATTAAACAAAGTAGTTGGCAAAAAACTGTACACTGAGACTTATTTTGATTGGCTCTGGCACATGAGCACAGACCTCACTGCTGGAGTCCTTGGAGAAAAAGCCATTGAATAATTCATCCTAAAATGTCTGCATCAAAATGGATATTACATTCTATTGGTGATGGGAGTCCTGTGTACATTGACGGGGAAAAAATGCTTTCCCTCATGCATGTCCATATTTTTTGTTTGTACAATGCACAGCTTGCTCTTATTGTTTTTAATCTTTGACAGAAAATGCTAATCTATGACCCAGCAAAAAGAATTTCTGCCAGAAAAGCCTTACTTCATCCGTATTTTGATGATTTGGATAAGTCGAACCTTCCTGACAACCAGATTAGGAATTAACCACCTGATGCCCTTTCTGGACTCAAATTCTATGGATCACCACTGAAGTTTTGTTTGTTTTTTTCACTGTATGTATTTGTATGTCTATTTTTTGTGTATTCCCTATGCAGCTGCAGTCTCTGTAGATTACAGTACTTGCATGTGAACGTTGCCTTTAACACTTGTAAATATTGACCCCAGAGCTATGTACAAATAAGAAAACCCAGCAATGATTTAATAAAGCTCTATATTCACCATTCTACTTATTATTATTATTATTATTATTATACAGGATTTATATAGCGCCAATAGTTTGCACAGCGCTTTACAATATAAGGAAGACATTAGTCACAATACAATTTAAGACAAGATGGTAAGGAGGGCCCTGCCCGTGAGGGCTTACAATCTAAAAGAGGTGTCTTTGGTTTTTCTTGAGCCCATATCCACCCGATGGACCACTCTTTATGATTGAATGGTGATTTTAGCAAGTATATCGGGTGCACTATGTTGCGTTCAGCTTCCTTTGTGTCCCTTGATAGGTCTCTATGCCTGAGATGCTGGTTTGACTTGTATAATTTAATTATATCCTGCACGGTATTTTCCAGATCTGAGAAGTGACTTTCTAGAGGTCTGCCCCTTTTGGCAGTTTGTCTAGTTGGCTGGTTCCCCATACAAGGTCAGGGATGCCAATGGCATGGTTATTTGCCACAAAAGCCTTCTGAATTTCCTTTTTTTAAAGTAGGTTCAGCTGTATACTGCACAAATAACTGTATTATGGCACAAGTCATTCCAGTCGCAATATTTCTTTTGGACAATGATTTGATTTGGGTAAAATGGCTTTTAAGAGCCATGTTTTAGGAGTTCACAAATCAAGTGGGGTTCTGCGGCATTTTCTTTCAACAAAGTATGACATGGTGCCAACTCGGTCTGCATGGAAATGGTTAACTTGTCACACTTGTGTAGTCTGGGTTCCTGTTTGAGAGATTTTTCCCTTCAGGAAGTGAGAAGTCTCTCCAATTGGAATAGAACTACATTTCATTTGAGGTGGGGGAATGGGTAGAAAAACTGTTGGGTTTGCAGGCCTGCTATATCGGTTGCTTCCAGCTTACTTTCCTTTTAACTGGTCTGGGATTACTTAACCTATGCCTTCTAATGGTGCTGACATCTACAGCCTGGAGTCGTGCTGTCCTGTGCTTCTCGAGTCTCTTCACTCTTAGGAGTCTAAGTTCTGGTGGGTATGGCTGATCCTCAGTCACTCAAGACTTCATAATCCAGCCAGCAGGACATGGATAAAAACCTCAAATGTCTGACTGATCCCTGAGGCCTCAAGTGTAATTCTGCTCCTTCTCCAGCAGATTTGTGGTTACTACAATGCTCAAGGCTAGGAAGTAGGGATGCACAGATACTAGTATCTATGCCGAGTATTTAGGTGAGAACTCGTACTCTCCCAAATGCTCCGATGCATTTGGTGACTAAGTGATGGACGGCTTCCCTACTAATCGGAGTCGGGTGGCGAGTCTTTACAGGCCTCCTGGCTTTCTTGATGGAACTTTCGATAGCGGCGGATACAGAAAACAAATCAGTACTCGATACAGAAATACCAGTATTGTTGCATCCCTACTAGGAAGTAAACTTCCTAAGGTGCATCAGACAGGGCTTACTTTGCTTGGTGCAAGTCTAGGGCAGAGGTAGACAACCTCAGCACTCCTGTTATGGAACTGCAAAATTCTGATAATCACAGGTGTTGACTCCCTGAGGCAGAAGCATAATGGGATTTGTAGTTTCACCACAGCTGGAGTGCCGAGGTTGCCTACTGCTAGTGTAGGTGTTTTCACCCCAGGAGCGTCTCCGTGGGATGAATCCTCTCCCCCTCCCTGCAGTTCAAAACCACCAAGGGTCAAGTTTCTGCTCTTTCAATGCTGTTTTGGAGACCTTTGGCCTCTTGCTTACCCTTTTTGTTTAGGGGGTCTCCTACGTGGCTTACCCTACCATACATTCCCTTGTGGCTTTCTGGGACCTGAATCTGGTTTGCTTTGATTCAAGTAGCCGTTCCTGAAGCAATCGGACCTTTCCAGTCTACTCACCCATAAAGTGGTTTTACTTGTAGCCATTGCCTCTGCAAGGAAAGTATCTGAAATGGCACCTTTTATCTTGCAAAGGACCTTTTGGTCCTGCATAGGGACAAGGCGGTAAGACCCAGATTACCTTCTTGCCCAAGGATAGTTTCTGCCTTCCATTGCAAAGAACCTTGTTCTTTTGTCCCTTTTTTGCCCGGCATGATAGTGTTGCTTTTTATAAGGGGCTACATAATCCTTGGCTATAGTTCTTCCTGTGTCCACATGGGGAACATTTTTGCAAGTTTCTCAATTATTTAAACGGAATCTTGCTCCTTTACTGTACATGGCTGTTGCCTGAGGGGTAAGACTGCACTAATTAATTTGACACGGTTATCAAAGTACAAATATAAAAAACACTAATTTTAAGTCTTAAAAATAAAATATGCTCTAAATGTAATCTAGTACAGTAGAATCAAACTCTTCAATGATAAAACAAATACATTTCGCAGCAAAGTATTGCCCAAATACTTAAAATCATGTTTCTGAGCAGCTGCTTCCAAGTCACTCAGCTTCCCTGAACTTCTTGTCCAGTACAAGATCACAAAGGGCAGTGCAGACTCCAGCAACTGTTAATCTACTAGCTTGGAGAAGGGATGAGTGGGCCTGGAGGGAGGGAAGCAGCTTGATTTTTTTCTGTTTGTAGACACACAAGGGTGATTGAAAGCACTCTGCTTGAGAAAGGAGTCACTATAAAATGGGAAGTCAGGACCAGTGATCAGGGGACCAGCTGGCTCTGCAGGAACTAAAACTTTTAAACCTCATGGCTCCTGCAGGGAGCCGTGAGTGACAGTCACCACTCTCTGCAGGGACATGATCGAGAAGCGAGCGACGTTATGTGTTCGCTCGCTTCCTGATCTATTGAGCCGACCTGTGACAGTTTCATTATCACACGTCGGCTTGAACTTTGAGGTTGAGTGAAAATCACTCACCTCATAGTTCTCCTTTTTTAATATCACTTTAAGCCTAAATGTTTATCTTTAGATAATACATATAGTCCAATACTAAATCATAAGTTCTTGAATGCCATAGCTTGCTGTTCCACAGATTAAATACACAAATTGATGATGAATGTGCCGCTTTGTGCTTCTGTATGATTACACAAATTCTCAGCGATTACTTTGATTCTTATAATTTTCGAGGTCTATATTGTTTAACAGAATTCTAACGGATTACATGAGATTGGTTGTGTTTATGCAGGTGCACTGCAGGCTCGGCTTTCAGATAACAGGCCTATTGTAAGAGGCACAATGCTAGTTGACATATTACAAGGAATAGCAGGTCTTTCGAGTATAAAATGCTCCAACAAGAGAACGACTGTCATAGTGCATTCAACAATGCCTTGCTGTCTCATGTTTCAGACATGTGTATAAGAATTCTCATTCATACCAAATACTGAATATATGTAGCTCTGTAGTGCTTCAAGCTGCATGTCACTTTTGTAGCCTGTATATTTCAGTCAGTTGTACAATGCCTAGTGATACAGCATGCTCACATATAAAGATGCTGGTGGAGTTGCCATTGTGACCCACTACACTCCTTGTTTGTGTATTCTGCTAAACGCTGATGGACTCTCCACTATGTTTTTAACTTACAATTCATGTAGTGTGCTGAATTCTGTCTAGCGACGTTTCAAATCACTAAAAAATAATGTCCTGTATTCAATTATAGCTCACCCTAAGTAATGTAAAAAAATCTCCATCATCTTTATTAATCTCTAAATATAAAGCAATACATTTAAATTGTGTAAATGTTCAATACCAGCCGTCCTTTTTTTTTTTTTTTTTTTTTTTTT